AGCCAACTTCATAAGCACACAGTGTCTGACATATGGGGGTTGGTGCTCTGTGGTCACCATCTTAAAGGTCTCAGTCATTTCATCTTTGAATTTGTGTTTTGTAACAGAGGTCCCATGGGACAATGGAGCACATGATTGGGGTTTAGAGCCTGAGCTCATGTGTAGCCCCACCTCCTATTGTCTCCCTGTCTCTCTAGGATGGGTTCTCAGCTCTCCATTTCCTACCAATGGCCCCCAGATCCCTCATAGCCTCTCCCTCCCCATCCATCAACAACTGCCTTACTCTGTCCCCAGCAGAGTCCTGTGTACAGACACAGGAAGGGTCAGTTTGGGTATGCACTCTTGCTCTAGGTGTTTCCAGGTGGAACATAGCTATGCCATCCCTGCCCTTAGCTGGAAGCACTTGGGTGCATTCTGTGGGAGATGAGGGAACTGGTAAGGAGGCTACAGTCCTCTTGTGTTGTCCATCTGCTGTGGACTAGGTGTGGAAGGAAAGCTACAGAACGGGCCTCCCCTGCCCCAGCCAGGTCAGAGCGCATGTACACAGGGGAGCACCATAGACCATGGGGGACGGGCCTGAAGCTCCTATGATGGTCTGTGCTCAACCCAAGACAATCCCTGTGGCCAAGGTAGAGACATTAAATAGCAAATTAAAATACCACGATAGGCTGAGATAGAGACCACAGAAGAATGATATAAGCATTATATTTTACTACGTTTAAACAGCAGAATTTTCCTACTCCTTGAACAAGGACCCCACTTTCATTTTACTCTGGGCTCTGCAAATCACACAGCCACGCCTACCGGTAGAGTTCTTTGACCTGAAACCAAAGGAGTCCTAACTGACACCTAATATGCCTTTCATGTGGCTCTACATTAGAAGTAATTCTATATAAGCCTCTTTCCCTAAGATAATACCACGTTATATATTGTTTTATTGTGTTGAAAGCCTTTGTTCAAATCCTTTTCCTACCCTAAATGGCAAAATCTCCAGTGGCCCTATTTTCAGTTGTTTTTTTTTTGTTTTTTGTGTGCCTAAAATTAGTCTCCTGATACAGAATTCCCACTCACTGTATGTTTATGAACTGCATGTCAATCTTATCAGTCATTATCAGTTTTCAAGCCCCAATGACAGACAAGAGCACAGGGTTAGCCTATCAGCGACTTATGGACAACTGCCTGCTTAGAGCCCACCTTCAGTTCCCGCCGATCTCAGGACTGGGGAAACAGATCAACACTTCCACAGACAGCCCCAACCCTCATGTCCGGTTGTGTAAATCTAATTTGAAACAGTTTGTACGTGTTTTCCCCACTTAACCCCAAATATTTAGCAGCAGCTACTGCCTATTTTCACAAGTACTTTAGTCTGTTTACAAAAATGTCCACAAAAATATTTTTAATTATAGATTCTCATTGCACTCTCTCTTCCCTTTTTATTTTCTTTACTGTCTCTAGTTAGAATATCAAAAGACGAGAGAGAGAGAGAGAGAGAGAGAGAGAGAGAGAAATATGATAGAAATATGATGAATAGCCATGGAGGAAAAGAAAGTGAAAGCATAAATGGAAAACAAAAGGAGTAGAAAATAGGAAAAAAAATGATGAAAGAAAAGAAAAAGGAAGGGAAGGAGAGGAGGGAAGAAACGAAAAGCAGTCACACTGAGTTAAATCAGATTCAACTATGTCTTATTCAGGTTTCACCTGTGAAATAGACTAGTGCTAGCAGCCCGCCGGGGATACGGTGGGAACTGAATGAGATGACACACATGAACACACCCAGCAAGGTGTCTGGCAAGTACATACTTGCAACTATTATTGAAGCTGAACTGGCATTTTCCATCCTCGTGAAAAATCAAAAACTCCTCATATGAGCATCAGCCACTAGGAAAGCCCGTCTGAGAGAATTCACACCAATTAGTATTTTTGAGAAATCACTGCCTTGTGTTTTGGTTGTTAATAGAAGTGTGAACAGGTAGTCGATTCCATGAACAACATCATGTCTAGAAAAGCTCTTACACACTGCCAGAAAAAAAAAAAAGAATTACTTCAAATTGTCTGGTGATCCTTATCCACCCACCTCTGTAAATGTTTCAGTTACAGGTGGGAAAGTCACCTATCAAATGCCTGCAATGAAACCGAGAGACAAATTTGGGTACAGGTACACCTCAGAGACATTACAGGCTAGTTCCAGACCACCGTAACAAAGCAAGTATCAATAAAGTGAGCATCACAGTAAAGTGAGTATTGCAATAAAGTATCTTGATCATTTTGGGGGTGGAGGGTCTTCCCTTCAGTTTATGTTTTTAAATGCAACATCTGTGATGTATGATAAAGGGCAGTGCAATAAAATGAGGTCTGACTGTACTTTGGTCAGAAGGCTGCGCTTCAAGCAGCTCATGAGCTGCCTCCTCCTTCTTCCTCATCTTTGCACCACTAATAATACTGCCTTCATTTCTTATAGCATTTGATATTTTAAAACTCTCCCATACATACTCCTTTAATAAGGTTTTGCAGTAGCATTGTTGGATAAACACAGAAGGTGGTACTAACCCGATTTTACTATGTAAAAATATAGACTTTGCAACTCACCAGTGATAAAATCAGGTCTAAACCTCAACTCTCCAAACTGTTTGTCTAATTCTTCAACTACACTGCACTGCTTCCCCAAGCAACATTTATAAAACATAGGATTCTTCCACCTTACTGAGGTCAACAAAATTGACCATGAAAATCACTTCAAGAAAATTATTTTCCTAATTCATAACTTTCAAGAAAAGATGTATTTCTAGACACCAGAAACATTATTTGAACACATATTTTTCCCACAGTTGAACTTTCAAATTCCACAAAGGTGAAGTGACCACTTATCACAATGCTGTTAGAGGACTTAGCAAACACAAACTCACTGCACCAGCGCAATTAATATTATTTGACAAGGTAACATAATTCGGAGACAAACGCATTAAAATCAAATCCCTGTGTTGCTCCCTCCTCAGATTTACAGCATGAACGTGCAGTTACTAGCAATGGGCTTTGTAATCCGGGGAACTCTATTCATGTTTATGTGTTTTGTGTTGCTTTGAAAATAGTTTCAGCCTTTTTCTAAAAGCTGAGCACTGGTTTCTTTATTTGCCTCATGGAACTGAAAAAAAAAAACACCCACAAATATTACATACATAAATTCCCATTGTAAGAGATGCAGACAATATTGAATACATAGCAATGAGTGAATTCTATTTCACACACACACACCCATGGGGAAGATGGAGAACAGTTTGCATGTTTCCAGTGCCTATGCATTTGCATAAATGTGCGTGCAGACATTTTAAAATAATGAATTAGATATGTGAGGATGCTATATGTATTGTCCTATAACTTGATTTTATTTATTTTTCTTTTCTTTTTTCTCCAAAATATGTCTTGGAGATCTCTCAGTATGTATGTATACGTGTGTGCATGTGTATATATATGTGCACATGTATGCATGTATACATGTGTGTGCACATACATACACTTAGAGTTTCTAACCACTCTATTCCATGATACATCAAATAGACTAAATTATTCCGTTACCGAGGAGCATTTTGGCAGTTTCTGGTTTTTGATGAATACAAATGCCACAAAAACATCACTGTGTCTGCATGTAATGACCACATGCTTTTCTAGAACACATTTCAAGAGGTGGAATCAAGAAAATTCCTACATTGCTCTTCAGATTTATAAATATTGATAGGTTTTGTCAAATTACCACTAGAAAGGTTCACCAATTTAAACTCTGTTATGTATGAGGCTATTTACCCCAAGATCACCAATACAATGAAATTAATCTTTCCAAACTATCCCTTCACCTAATTATGAATGTGGTGAAGTAAGTCATTATTTCTCTCTCATCATCAGGATGTCATCTCTGTAGAGAATAATGTGCTGTGTGTCCTTGGGCAAGGTACTTAAACTTTCTGTGTCTCAGTTTTGTCACCTCTGAAATGAGGGTGAAATAATACCTATTTTTTTTCTGTTTGTTTGTTTGTTTGCTTCAGGGGGTGGGGAGGCTGGGGCTGTACATTTTGCCTCTTCCAATATGATTGTGTCTCCTTCCCCTTTGGTTGATTCAGTCACTTAACACTTACTTAAGGAGCATCTACAATATGCCAGGCACCCTTCCAGTTGCTGGGGACAGAGCAGGGAGACAAGACTAAGTGGTCATTCTCATGGAGCTGACATCCCAACGGGGAGACAGACAATGCATAAACATGTAGATGTGCAATATTCTATCAGGTTGTGTCAGTGAAGAAAAAATGAAGTAGGGCACAGAAGTAAGAGGTAATAGGGGTGTCATTTTAAACAGGATGGTCAAAGAAAGTTCCTGTAATGAGTGATACTGAAAGAAATGAGCCTGGGGGCTGAGGGGACAACAAGCAAAGTCCTGGGACAGGAATGTGATGGACATGTTCCAAGAATAACATGGTCATGAGAAAGGAATGAGGGGAAGAGAAAAGAGAGAGGCTGAGAGGACACAGGGACCCGATGCTGAACCAAAGGGAGGAGTTTGTATTTTATACTAAATGCAAATGGGAGCAAGGGCACTGACCTCGGAATTTGCTGAGCTGCTACAAACACAGAGAGCAGCTGAAATTTTAGGCTTCCTCCCTAAATAGATGCCTCGAGTGTGACCACGAGCAGTGCCCACTTGCTCTCTGAGCAAAGCCTCACAGGGAATGGAGGCAATCAGAGCATCCTTCACCAGCTCAGGCCCAGAGGCAAAGCTGAACAGCCATCCAATGGTGGGACCATGCCCCTGACCCACACATATACCTCTTTCATTCAGCCCAAAAGGTACACTCAAAGCATGTCTCCTCTCCTCTGATGCCCAGTGCCCTTTCCAGCTGATAAACCAGGAGCAGGAGCCCTGACCATGCCAGAGTGTCGAAAGCATTCTGCACATGAGTACCGAGAGCCCAGGCAGGGTGGCAGCTCACAGCATACTCCCAGGGCAGCAAGCCTACCTCTGCAGATGGTCCCGTTCCCCACATAGCCCGGTTTGCAGGTGCAGCTGTGTCCTCGGACAGTGTTGGTGCAGATGGCATTCTCATCACAGTTGTGCTGCCCACTGCCACATTCGTCGTGCTCTGTACACAGAGGGAAAAAGAAAGAGAGACACCTTTATTTAAGTTGGAATCACCAGTGTTGAAAAAATTAGTTGGGACTCCCCAAATAGGAATGACAGTGACTACCGTCCATGCACGGGGACATTACTGTGTACAATCAGGTTTCTCTGCATGATGTGGTTGAAATCTCAATGACTCTAAAAGCTGATGTTATTCTCCCCACTTTGCAGGGAAAGTGAGTGTCAGAGAAGTCAAGCGACTTATGCAAGTCCAGGACGGATGTGTGCTTGTCTAAGAACATTGCTTCTTCCACGTTCTGTGAAGGTTTCTGCAAAGGCTTCAAGGCAGTGGTGCTCAACAGGGGGCCATTTGGAGTCCTCTTTACCCCTTGAAACATTTGATGGTGTCTGGAAATATTTTCAATTATCATTATTTGGGATAAAGGATGCCATAAAACCTAGGGGATAGAGGCTAGGGATGCTGCTAAGCATCTTACAATGCACAGGAAAGCCCACCACAACAAAGAACTCATTAGTGTAAAATGTCAGTGGTACCAAGGATGGAAACCTTTCCTCCAAGGTTAGAAAAAGAGACAAACCTACATGAGAGATTCTATGGCTTCTTTCGAACAAAGAGGGTGAGACTGGAAAGGAAGACAGTTACATAGCCTGGCAAAGAAGCACTGACCAAGTACTTCCCAAAGATTGGCTCTGGTCACAGGGAATGTTGGCCAGGCCCAGGCTGTGCTCTGAGTAGAAAAGCAATTTACTCACAAGACTCTCTTTAAGGGCTTTCAGCGGTTTAATTTTCCATAGAATCTGTTTACATAGGGTGCAGAATTTAATCTCTGGTTTAAATGTGTAGTACTGTGGTTATATACAGGGTGGGGCAAAAGCAAGTTTATAGTTGTTTGTATATAAAATAATAAAATAATTAAATAATAATACAAGAATAAACTGTATTTCACATACTCACAACTGTAAACCTACTTTTGCCCCACCCATATATTCAAATAGTGGTGATATCCTTAAACCACAAGATGTGTGTATGGAAGGGAGGGGGGGAGATCTAACAGTACACCATGGACTAAAAGATTCCAAGTATGAAATCAAGATTTCACAGACAACTATACTTTCTACTCATAATAAGTAAGTTTAAAGCATCTAAATGATTACTTTGGAAATAAATAAACAATACAGGAAAGACTATGTCTTTTAATCTCTTTAACATCTGCTAGTATAACATTTTAGAAATTTTAAGAAGAAAAAATCAAGTAGGGCTATTAAATCATAAAAGGTTCTAAAGTAAGTGTTGAAGTCCCAGGTAAAAACCCCAACAAAATAACACTAATTGAATAAAAATTAAAATTCAATACAATCTGTTAACTATCGTGTCCTGTTCGATCAATGTAGAAATATCATCTATCTTCATTAATTTCCATTCTAAATTTCATAACAGAGACCCAGAAATGAGCTGTTTCAGTCATGCAATTAAACTAAAAGCACACACATTTGACTGGATTTAACACCTTGGCTTTTTCCAAAGGAAAGTCTTCTTTAGGCCTCAAGACCAACCCGAACTGTCAGTGAGAAACGTGCACAGGTTAGCAAGCATTGGGAAGGGAGGAGATTTATGAGTGCACACTTCTAGTCTGCGCTACAGTCATTTCCAGCACACTCCCAAAATAGCTTAACCCTGTGGAAGTCTGACCAAATTTACAGACCTATCAAGCACCTGGTATGGGCAGCTGCAATACCAGATGGTTTTAGGAACAACAACAACAAAAAAAAGGTCTAAGAGTACAGAGTTCGACTCCAAGAGCTTTCCCACCTCCTTATTTAAATTCACTTAATAAATAATTATTAGTGTCTGTACTGGGAACACAAAATGAGTAGATACGATCTCAACTCACGTGAACATTTTAATAGGGGCCACCAGACGGCCATTTATAACACAAGGGAAGAGAGATAAGAGTTATAAGTGGGTGACCTTACATTTTATCATACAAACAAACATATTTCAGAGTCAAAGGGGGTTCTGCTAATAACTATACTGGAATAATAGGTACATAACTCAGGATGACCTAAGCAAACCTGCAAGTGTAGTTACTCCAGATAAGAACAAAGATGGACTAAGAATTCGTTACAGGAAATTTCTGTGAATAGGGAGAAAAGTCTTCTTGTAAAACATAGTACTTGAATTAGTTTTTAAAAAATGGTTGTGATTTTATTGGCCAGAATTATCCAAAAAGGGCACTCCAGAAAAAAAAGAACAGTGTGAAGAAAGGTATTGTTTTATGCAACATTCCAAAAGTTTGGTCCCTCCTTTCCAACCTGGTCTTTTTTCAGCTTTGTTGAGGCATAACTGACAAATAAAATTCTAAGATATTTAAAGTAGCATCGAACAGACTGTCAAACTACAGCAGGAAGGCAGAGGAGGGTTGGGGGACGGGGTCGGGGGTGGTAAGAGATCAACCGAAGGACTTGTATGCATGCATATAAGCATAACCAATGGACACAAGACTCTGGGGTAGGGAGGCTGGGGGAATGTCAAGGGGGAAAAAAGGAGACATATGTAATACTCTTTGTAATACTTTAAGCAATAAAACAAAATTTTAAAAAAAACTGAAAAAAATAAAGTGTATGTTGTGATGATTTGATATATTATACATTGTGAAAGGATTCTCCCCATTGAGTTAATTAACACATCTACTGTTCCTGGTCTTATCTCCTCATATCATTAAAGCAAAGCTTCTTCTCTAATGAGGAGGCCCCATTCTGTCCTGCAAATGTTTGAGTTCATTCCCATTTTGTCATGGTGTTTCCCTGACTCAATATATTATTTCCCAGTTGGAAAAACCTGTGTCCCTGCCTGGCTTCACACACCATTCCACACCCACACTCTTGCCATGAAGCTTTCTTCACCCGCTCCTCACACCACATGAATGTTACCATCTTGAAACTTTTATTACATTTAATATCTTTACCTCTTTGGAGGCAATCACAGCACAATATGTAGTGATACTTATGAGTTTTATCATTAATGTCTTCTTAAGTAATTAACTTTGAAGAGATGAATCATATCATATTTTCTACAACCCTGACATTTTCTACAACCATCACTACTTTACATAATTAATGATGTTGAGCCCAAAGAAATCCAAGCATTGAGCGAAACATTGTACATACATCATTGAATTATCCCAACAATCATATGAAGTTATGTTTGCTCATTTTACAATGAAGTAACTGAGACAAGAAGACATTCAATAACCTTCCTAAAATCACAAAACTAGTAAGTAGGGGAACTTGGATTTGTGACTCTAGACACCAGAGGTGACCTCCACATTACTGGGCAGTTGGAAGCAATTTGGGTGTGGTTGAAGCTAAGCCAAGACACAAGGGAATGATTCCATGATGCCAAAAATGAAGACTGTTTTGTGTTTTCTTTCTATACTGGCCCCAAATACCTACTTAAGATGTGATCTATCCCCAAAGGGCACTTACTAGCTTCCTGAACTTGACTCAGCCAATCTATGTCTTATACAAGTGTGCATAATAATAGAACTTATCTCCTGGGATGGTTGTGAGCATTAAATTACTACTGCGGGTAAAACACTTACCACAGCACATCACAACTAAATGCTCCATAAGTGTAAGCTATTTTACTGTCACTATTGCTATTGCCATTACTACCACTAGTAGTACCACTTCTATACCACGAGTACTACTATTAGCATTACTACTGCAATTACTTGTGAAGAGACTTCATTATTGGATGGTGGTATAAACTTGCTAAGAAAATGTTCTCTTTCCTTTAAGGGTGATAGTTCAGGCAGAAAGGCTGTGAATAGATATGCTTTTGAAGACAATTAAATTAGAACACCTCTGAAGATCCAAGGAAGTATTTGCTTAGATTCAATTATGGTCCCCAAGAAACAAGACTATGGATTGGGAAGGTGAAAGATGTATGCTTAAGATTGTTGATGTGTGACCCGAGTTTGGAGTGTCAGACCTCTCAGGACAAAGGGTAATGATGATAATAATTACTGTTATGCTGGCTAATACTTACTTAGCGCTCATAAGTGCTGCCATTGTCACGTAGTTCTTTGCTCCTTTCTCTATTCTCTTTCACAGGGTAGCTCAGAAGGACTCTAACTAATCCACCTCGGTAACATTGCAATCAATTGCAATCAATAGCCACTGTCAATTAACACATTGTTTTCCTTCGAAAACTAATCAGGACCCACACAAGCTACTAAAACAATCAATGCAGCTGTGGCTGCAAATGCCTCATGTGTAGGGTCTGGCTGGCGTGTAGCTTTACTTCGTTCAAGGAAATATCTTTTGTACTTTACAAACATATTACAATAACCTCACTGGGATATTCCAAGCTGGTCTTATCAGTCACATTTTACAGATGGAGAAATTGGAATTTGGATCACATTAGAGGCTTTTCTTATAAGTACATAGGTAATAAGTTTTACATCTGAAACTCAAACTCCCATCTCCTCATTCCTTCTGCATTCTTTCCAAAACCCCACTTAGACCACAGCATAGGTCATATTTACTTAAAAATAATTGAATCAGGCAGCCACGGGAAACTTAGAAGAAAAGAGCTTGTAAATTAAATAGAATCAGGTAATGATATGTTGATGTGTTTATTTACCACAGTGACTTTGTGAGGGGAAGAGAAAGGGATGTGTTTCAGGAGCTCTCTTTGAGGCAGGCCTTTTGTTTCATAAAGAATTGCTAGAGACACAGTCCCTGGACTGTGAGAAAATATGTACAAAGCATATATCTTATTAGTACCTTGAATTCAGAATATATAAAGAACCTTTAAAACCCAGTCATAAAAATATAACCCAATTAGAATATAGAAAAAATATTTAAATAGACAATCTCCAAAGAAGATAGCAAATGGCTAATATGCACATAAAAAGATGCTCAACATCTCCAGTAACCAGGGAACTCCAAAGCAAAACCACTGCACAACCACTGGAATGGCTATCATTAAAAAGA